CTATGTGTAATTTGCTATCTCTCAAGTCTCAATCTTTCTAAGGTTTGATTTCCTCTATGATTGCAGTTTTCCATTCCGGTACTTCTAATGTTTCATGCGTTGTCCTTGGTATTTGCATTTTATTAATATTGCTAATAAATACATACTCCTTTTTGTTTTTTTAAAATAATAAGTTTATCATTATACAGATTATCAAATGAGAGATCTGAACTTCGATTACCTAAAATATTCAGTGATTCTGTATCTCGATTCAGATTGAATTCATGACTCAAATTAAATAGTTGTGACTCTTTCTCTTCTTAGCTCTTGTTCCTTCTAGCGTAGACTCGAAGTTCAGCTTTTTCAATATAATAAGTAAGTTCAGGTTCAGGTGTCTCATCTCAATCTCTGTGTTCTAGAGATTGAATAGGTTTAGTTGGAGAATGAAGATATTTAGTAATAGAGTCCCAAAATTGAGATTCTTGTGTATTCTTTTTCCTTTGAATACCAATTTTGTAGTATAGTTAGTTTTTAGATATTTGGTCTTGACATATGGATTGAACAACAATAAAAGGTGATTGGAAATTTTGTTTTTACTTAAGCATGAATCAATTTAAATTAACTAATTTCAAGAAAATCCATTAAAACCATTTTTGTTACTAATTCATCTTTCCTCTTTTTGTTACCATTTTCTTTTATTCTTTATCAATTTTATTTTTTGTAATTTTTTGGATATTTTTTATTTTGAACCAAACAAAATTGGGATATCATAATAAATACTGAGCCAACAAAGATATGTTTTAGAAATTAGATTGTCGATGCCCATACCACCATCTTGTTTAGAAAGACAACTTACATCCCAACTAACCAAATGATCTCTTGAGGATTCACCTGCCCCATAATCCTCTCAATAGCTTCAGCCACCCTACTGGTCAAAGAGATAATAACGGGGAATACTAGACAAACCTGGCTAGATAAATATTATCCTCCTACCTCAAGAGAACAACTCACTTTTTCCAACACTAAAGGCTCTATAGATTCTACTCACCAGAGGATCCCAACAAAAAACTACCCGAGTTACCACCTGATGAACACCTAGATAGTTACTAGGTCAAGACAACACAGAACACCCAATCATCCTAGCAAGTAAATATTTGTTCCCACATAATATGCATTACAATTAGTTAAAATATATAAATGTGCACCATACAGTAATCCTCAGCTTCATTGCTTCCTTTATTTACCTTAAATCCTAGGAAGATCCAAGGCATACATACCAATAGTCAACAAATTTCTAAAATAATCACTATTGCCTTTGAAGTATACAAGACCACAGAAGCATAACTATACCAGAATGCCAAGAAACTGGCCATCATTTGGCATAGTTACTGCAAAAACTGTTATGTACAACTGGAAGGAAAAGGCCAACAGCAAGGAAAATAGAAGCAACAAGAGTCGATTTCTAAATCAAGTGGTGATATTAATATCAAGTAGGCAAGCTAGAATATATAGGAAATAAGAAATAAGAAATAACAAGAACCAGATTTCATATCCCAGTTAAATCTCAAATACCAAAATTCTACATTTCATCCCTAAGCATTTCTGCTGTGAGTTCTGGGTCCATATCATAACCAATTAAATCTTTCAAAAACCATAATTTTCACACCATCAACTGACATAGAAAGAATATTTTGAACCAAAAAGAAAAATTTCACAATCCCAGTTTTTCAGCATGAGAAGATATCTCGTAGTAATGATCACAGGAAAGTAAGCCAAATCACAATACAATTGCAGCATTGATATAAATATTCAGAAAATCCAAGGCAGCTTATTTTCAAGCTAAAACCTCCTCATTTCTTAAAATAACTGAAAGTAAACTGTTACTTGTGAAGTTACAACGAAAAAGGGGAAAACAGGCAACTACCTGCAAAGAGCGGAAGATGTTGGACTCCATGAGAGTTCTAGTTGTGGAAGGATCAGTATCCGAGTGAGATGATGCACCAATCAAAAACTTATGGAAACTGCGGAAAGCCACTACAGTTTCTGCACTCCAAGGAGGCAACCATTTGAAAGCCGAAACACAAACCAAACCATCTTCAAACAATTTCACTACAAAGTTTCCATCATCAAAAATCTCCTTATTCAAATTAATAGAAATGGAGCAGCGAGCCAGCAAATCAAGCTTCAGTGCTTTCAAGGCAAGTGAGTCAAACACACTTGGATAAAACCTCGAACCCATCTCAAGAATCGACTTCTTTTTCCCTACCTCTCCATTGAACATCAATTTATTCAGCATACCCAACAACCAATGCACTGCAAGCAAGCGAAAGACTAAAAATTGTTGCGTCTCCCTCGAAAGCAACATAAGGCGTCTCACAATATCCGCCTCTTGCCCATCGAAGGCATCGGGGAAGTGAAAATACATCATCAAAACAACATGACACAACAAAGGATCAAACGAATAAATCATCGTAAAGAATTGCACCTTCAACATAGACACCTGTAACTCCAGAGCCACAGCCAAAGGCATTATCATCCCCGCAAACTCTACCATTCCGCAAGGCGTCAAAACCTGCGGCCACTCTAAAAGAAACGACATAGCCCGCCGTAGCTCCTTGTGATTCAGACCCGTAATAACCTCTTTGCCGGAACCCGAAATCAGCCACTGAGGCGCATTGAATGGAACCAAAGGGGCAGCAGTGCTCAAAACGGAAACGCTCAACTTGTGAGTGACAATATTACACACGACAGTAGTAAACAACAAAAGATAAGACTGAGAAGCATGGGTACGCTCGCTTTGACACAATGCCCACAAATGACCAGTAACATCAGACAGCAGACAAGGATAACACTTCTCGAATTCACGCAAGCACTCACATGCACTGGCCCGGGTGTGGCGGTCGATGCTATGATTAGGTCGATTGATGAGAGTGAGCAGAAGCTCTACCATGCTTTCCACGTGACGAACATGGAATCGGCGCAGGGCATCGATGGAGATGAAGATAGAGGTTGCAGAGACCAGGAGCTGCTCCTTAAGGGCGTAAGTAATGTGAAGATTATCAACTGGAGACTGAACAACAGAACGAACCGCTTCATTTAGGCGGTCGAGGGAGCTGGTCTCGCCGGCGGTGGCGAGTTCGTCGAAAAAGGTGAGAGAGAACTCTTCGAGGAGGATTATGAGAGAGAGCTTGTGGTAGAGAGGGAAGTCCTTTTTGAGGAGAGAGGAGAGAGCAAGATCGAGAAGGGTGGAGAATGGGTAGACTGAGGTCCATTTCTGGCGGCGTGAACCACCGTAATGGAAGTCATCGATGAGGGAATCCCAGTCTTGCGGGGAGAGGGGTTTGACAGGAGGCTTTTCGGTCATGGTTGCGGAGAGGGGGATTTGAATCGTGAGGAAGAAGAGAGATCGAGTTGGGGAAGAAGAGAAAACCACATTCTGCAAGGTCAGTGGGCGGTGATGGGAGCTGCCGCCCCCTTTTACTTTTTCGCGATCCGCCGAGCTGTCGCTGATGAAAGTTTCATAAAAAAAAAAATCAGCTTTCCCTCTTTCTCTCTCTCTCTTTTTTTTTTTTAATAGAATATATTAAAAACAATATTTTATGATTTTCTTCAAATCAACTTGGTAATTTAATTAAATCCGTTGATATAAATTGTGATATATTTGTTGAATTATGATGGTTGTTCTTTATGCAAAATTTGAGTATATTTAAAAGAATGATTGATAATTGTAGAACATATTTTAGGTTTATTGAATTTTTTTGAAGTTTGGTATTGATTATGATGACATCCCTTCTTATCTTTTCGATTTATGATAAAAATAAGAGTAGAATGAGATTTTGATGCACGTATAGGTAACATTTAATAAAGGTAGATGTTTTGAATTTTAATCCTTATTACATAAAGATTGAGCTTTAAAATAAAATTAAGTTAAGTTTTGTCATCCATCAAAAAGAAGAGATTGTTAAACTATATTATTGATTTTGACAATTGACTAAAAATTTACTTTACAATGATATTAGTTAAGCTTTTGAGTTAGTAAGTGCAACATAATTCAAGAGAGTAATAAAATAGTAAAGGATGTGTTACAACCAAAGTAATAATGAGATGCAAAAGTAAAAAAAAAAAAATACAATTCAAAATTAAAATTCTATATAATTACTGATGATTTTATTAGAAGCGGAATTAGACATTAAATAATGTACGAGTCTAAATCAAAGATTCAAAGTCCAAAATGATGGAGGGCAAGAAGGTGGAAGACACCTACTTTATTGTGTAATCAATCTACCGAGTGTGCTTTATATGCATTTTATTTATTTTTAACTAACAAAATGTGTGTTTGTTTGAGTATTTGCATGTGTGCGTGTAAAAGTGACATTCATTTAAAATAAGAGATTCACTAATACATTTACAAAATACATAGGGAACTAAAAAAACAAATCAAAATAAATAAAAAACATATAGAAGATAAGAAATAAGTAATTAGAAATGAAATAAAAGCACACTCAAGATCTCAACTCCATTTTTATGCAATGATTCGCCTAATAAGTCTTTAACATTTCTCTTTCATGAGAAAGTAATCTATTTTCACAACCATTTATATCTTTTGTATAAAGTAAGTCTCTTCCTTTCTAACCCTTCTATACTTAAGCATAAGAATGCAACAAGCAAGAGATATGTTCCAACCCTAAACATGAGTGTTATACAATCTTGAAGATACGACATATAATAAAAGAAGTTAATGCCATATAATAAAGGAAGTAGATATATTCCAACACTAAACATGAGCGTAACAGAATCTTGAAGACAAGACATATAATAAAAGAAGTAGATGAAAGAATTTTTCAATAATGCCACATAACAAGCCAGAGGTTTCAAATAAAAGCATGTGTATTTCTTGTAAAGACAATTGATAAAAAGAATATATTAAAGAAGTTAAGAACAAGTAATCAATAAAGCAAATGAAGTGATCTGGCATGATAGAATATGCATATTTGAAAAGAAAATCAAACTTCTATTTCATTTAAAGTCAAAATAGTTATAACAAGTAAGAGAGAATCCATGTATTGTTTCAAATTGTAACTTATAATGCCCATTAACCAAGTGAACACCACTAACAAGCATGCTATGAACTCGAAAAAATGGAAAACTGAATTGAGAAAGTGTACGTTGTTAATAAGGAAAAATTATTGGGTAAACACCATATCAATGAGTTTGTTTAACATTTTTCTTAAACAGTAGTAACATAATATGATATTTACGAGGACAACTAACAATGTATTAATAAACAAACATAATAGAAGTGAAGAACCCAAACCAATATGTGTATGAAACCTCACAATCACCGAAGGAGTATGTCAATGGAAATGAGAATATTTAAATAAAATACATGGCAAATAAACTTATATTTATTTACTTTGATTGAAATATTGAAACGATTAAAGAACCATCTACTATTGAATTGGATTGGGTTCAAATAAAAGTTGTGCTTAGGTTTTATAATTTCTTTCTGGGTTACAGATATTTAAAAGGTTGTTTTTTTTAGATCTTTTATGAGTATAAAAAAAAAATTGACTTTTGAGTTTAAATTAACAAAGCAAAGAATTTGAATTTATGTTCAAAAATAAGATATTGTTCTTTATCACAAAATGATTTATACATAATAATAATAATAATAATAATAATAATAATAATAATAATAATTAACAATAATAATAATTAAAAATAATAATAATAATAATAATAATAATAAATTAAAATTAATCAAAAAAATAAAAGATAATTTGGACCAAATTAGAGTATTACAAAACCAAAACAAATGGAAGAAGAAAAATAATTGAAGATTGATGAGTAATTATTTTTCCATTTTACTGCCTATGATTTATTGTAATTGGTTGTTCTTTATACTAGCGCATGAGTGTGAAATATGTTCATTTATTTTATAGAAACTACAGATAATAGACAGACTATTTGGATTGCCAATATCATATTTAATTTTTTTCCTTGTACAAATTTAAAAAATATATCACTCAAATCTTTAATATCTTTTTTTTAATGAAAGATGTTCATCAATCAAATTTGCACATTATAATTTGTTCATCTTTGTTCTAATTCATCATTTTCCTTTTTTAGAGTTTCTACCTCTTTAGAAAGAGATGATACTTGTTTCTTGAGTCTAGCGTTCTTTGATCCTAATTTCATTAATTCATTATAAAGTTCCTCAAGACATCTTATAATTCATCATAAAAGTAATGAAGGTGAGATTGTACCTCATCTTTTTCTTTGTTCATGACCATGAGGCACAAGTTTGTAACTTTATTTTCTTCCTCTTCTTCAGAGCTACTTTCTTCACTATCACACTCCATGTAACTAGTATTGCCTTCTTTTTATGCTTCTTTCTTTTTATTTGATTCTCCCTTCGGTGGTAGCTTTTTTTTTATTTTGTTTCTTTCTTTCATGAGGCTTTTAAATCTTCTTGTGAAGAATACCATTTTCTCATCATTCTTTTTATCTGATGTGGGAGCTTTAAGAGTAATGACTTTATTCTTCTCGTTTTCCTCATCTTTTAACCTTTTTATTATGAGTTCATAGGTAGATAATGATCCTAAAAATTCATTGAGACTCAAATTATTCAGGTCCTTAACTTCTTGGCAGTTAGCCTGACATCCTAAGATCTTGGTAGACACTTAAAAACTTTTTTTATTGGTTTATAATTATTATAAATTTCTCCAAAAGATTTAAAATCATTTATGATATTGGTTGATGCAAGCAAAAGTAGGGGACAAGACACTAAGTTAATGAGATCCCACGACCAAGATGAAATCAAGCTCATATGAAAGGCAACATGGGAGTTCATGGTAAAATGGGAGCTTACTTGGAAACTCATGGCCTCAAGAAGAAACATATGGAAGCTCACAGCTTCATGAGCTCAAAAGGCCACAATTTAGCCATCATAAACCATAGAAGTCGCGACTTGCTTTATTTAAGTGGAAAAGGAGATCCAATTCAAGTTAAGTAAAAGTCCATATAGAGACAAATCTATGATGAGTCCACTTCAAGCGTGTAATTAGGCTTTATGGATGAAATATCACAGGAAAATGAGCCAATAAACTCAAGAGAGACTTCAAAGTTTATATCAAGGGATAGATCCATAACGAAGGGAGACTTGAATCAAACTTTAAAGTCCTTAAGAGGAAAAAACTGAGCTAACTAAGTCAGGGAAGAAATTAGCCACTAAGGTGTCCAAAACTTCAAGCAATTCAACCAACCGAGAGTCCTACACATTATGGACTTGTGGAGAGCCCTTTTCAATGATTGTTTATCATTAAAACTGAGTCTCAAGATATCTCAAAGCTTAAGATCACTAGATCAAGTAATTATCCACATGATAACTATCAAGAGTCATCAACATCTTGGACTCTCGGCCAAGTAATCTTCTTTTCATTCACTCCTTTTATCATGGAGAATTTGGATGAAATTATAATACATATTAAACACACGAAGGATCAGGAGTTCTTATTTTATAATGATATGGTAGATTCACTCATGATAATTTGTCTAAAAGAAATCCTAAAGATTAAGAACAACTTGGATTTGCACATGATAAATTTTCTCATCACAAACAACCAACTTTTTCTTAAGAGTTTTATCCATGTAAAAATCATGTTAATTCATCAAAAAAGGAGTCTTACACGTATAAGAATTCTGATAACAAATATCCTAAAAAGATTATACACAATCGGTTATAAAAAAGAGTCCATAATCCCTTAGACTCCATAATCCCTTAGACTTTTGGGCTTTCATATTCTTTTTACAAGTGGAAGTTAATCACCCACTTTGGGAGAGTCCTATATGAGTTTAGAGCTTATTTCACAACTAAAATTAAAATATTTTATTCCATAAAATCTGGTCAAGATTCCAAGTACTCCAAGCCTAAGCTTGGATAAAATATTTGCTACACATTACCTTCATCAAGATGTGGAGTTCAACTTCAAATCAAATTTGGAATCAAGAGTTCCTACCATGGCCGAATACCACTCCAACAAGTCATCTAATAAGTCTTCATCACAGTTGATAAGTCAAGGATAAAGATCAAAGATATGGCCGACCACAATTATTGAAGATTCAAGTTATTATTCAAGAGAGAATAGTCATGTTTATGTAATTATCTAATTCTTTATTTTATTAATTTTCTTTAAAGATTCCTAGATAGGAATTTAAGATATGTTTCCTATATTTTAGAATTTGACTTTTAGTGCAATTATTTTTCCCTACAGATAGGCCTCATTTTTAAGTTTTAATCATTTAAGTTCAAGTTCAATAAAACAAAAGCTTTTTGCTTTGGTGAGCATCAACTTTGAGTACTCTTTGGAGAGGTTTTCTTCAATATTTTTGTTGAGTGAAGAATTGGTTTAACTTATCAGGTTAACTCTTGGTGGTGTTTTATTAATTCTTATTCTTTTTATCAATTATCTTAGTTTTTAATTATAGGTTGATTATGAGTTAAGTAGGGAAGATTTGTTTAGAGGTTAATTTTTTATGTTAAATTGTGTGTAAGTTTTTTATCACATTAGTTGATCCTAGATCCTGCATCATTAATGAATCTAATAAACATATATGTGATGGATTCATTTTCATATATTTTAAAAGCTTATAACTATACACTAACATATTTATTTTGGATTTTTTTACTTGGTTTATTACTTTTATGTGTTACTTCTAATTAATCTAAAATCTCTTTGGCTAACTTATAAGTTGATATTCTATTATATTTATTCACATCAAGCCCACAATACAAAAGGTTCATTGCTCTAGTATTTAATTATACTACCCCCCTTATCATTCTCACGCCACTCATTTTTTGATTTCTCTACACTTTTGTCTCCTCTTTTAGTGGCAACATGTGGTCCTTACTATGATTTTCCAAAAATCATAATTAGAAAGTTGTATAAATATTCTCATTTGATTCTTCAATAGTTGTAATGACTATTATTGAACGAGGGTAGTCTATCGGAGAATTGACCTTCGTTTAATTGGGTTGCCATAAATGATCTTTGCTTTAAATAATTAAGTCATTACTAAGAGATGCACTCTGATACCAATTGTTATATTAAGATCCAAGACAACTGAAGAGTGAGGTGAATTGAGTTTTCGAAATTCTGAGGCCTCTAAAGGTACTTTCTAATTTTTTTAAGTGCTACTTGGCCTAAGATGGAAGTGTATTCTTGTATGAGAATTTTTATTGATCAATTTATGTAATATGCTCTAAATGATACTTAAGCAAGATAAAGAATTCATTTTATGATCATGTATGGTGAATATGCAATATCAAGTAATGATAAGTAGCAAATATAGTATAGAGGAAAGAGAATAGAGTGCAAATCTTTTATAGAGATTTATCCATATCACGTGTGACTACGTCATCTTTTTTATTTCAACCACTTAAGATTCCACTAATTTTTTTGAAGTATTACCACTAACTTGTGTTCTCTCGAACACTACTTGTTTGTTTATTGAGGTGCAAAGCTCACCTTTCTCTCGTGTTCTCTTAAACAGTATGTGCTTATTTATCAAGATATCAAACTCACTTTTAACTTATATTGCTAGGACAATATATGCTTATTTATCAAGGTGCTAAGCTCATATTCCATTTATGTTCACTTAACACTACATGCCTCTTTATCAAGATGTCAAGTTTACCTTCCACTCGTGTTTACTAAAACACTACACTTCCTAAAGGATCCTCTGAAACTTTCTTACAATGCCCCAAAGAGTATTGATAAAACATCTACAACTTTCTATCTCTTAAAGAGTAGATTTATAGATAATAAGCATACTTAGGGTTCAAGCTGGATCAAGATAATAATACTTTACCTTTTGTTTTCACAATCAATTTTTCTGTGACATCTAGCTACCCAATGGACTGCAATGTCCATTGCAGAGTAGATACAAGTGCAATGAATTTAAATTTATATGTTGAACTTACATTTATCCCTTATAAAATGCAAGTGTATTTATGAGGCATCAAAGTTAGCTATTAAATAATTATAAATAATGTCTAAGTTACTCCTGTAAAATACAAAATAATTACCTCTCAAAGTATAATGCTTTTTTTACACTCATCTCTTAAGGATTAATGAATGGATCCAAGTAAGCATCAAGGAGCAGGTTGAGAGGTAGATAAGTTTCTTCTACATCATTTGGAGAATAGATTGAAGTGAGTTCCATGAAACTTAGTAAGGAAAATAGTATTTGATCCATACTATTAAAGTTTTAAAAGTTATTAATGCAATCAACGAAAACACATATTTATCATTTTAAAACATCTATTTATATAATAAAGACTGGTGAAAATTTTATAGTAAAATACTTAATATGAATTCATTTAAAATAACATTCATGAATCAGTCCCTCACCATGGTGTCCAGTATAGTAACGATAAAATTATTCAAGAAAATCACAACTGATCAACAATATAACAATTTAAACATTCTTTCCCAATCTTTTCTATTTCAATTATTTGGACTCAATTAGGTTTTAACTGTTTACATACCTTCGTGCGAAACAGTTTAAACATAATATCAACAGAAAGTAGAAGGGATTCCCAACTACCGTTGTGAATGAGGAAACAATTCGATTCACAGTGCAGTAAATAAGTAAGATTATATTGTCACGACTTACTTTACCATTGTGACCCCTACGATCAATTGCAATTCACTCTCGTCAGAGGAAAGACCAATACAATACCTATTCACAAGAAGTGGTTCACTAACGATCGATAAGTAGATAGATAACGGTAACCCCTCTGTGATAACGGTTAAATAGATTTAAGACTTTCTTTGTTGATTTAAATTTACATCATAACAACTAATTGTTTTTAAGGTTATTATCAAGACCCATCATCTATTTACAGATAATCCTACAAGTTTTACTGTCCGGTCCATTAGGTTCACCAAAGTATTTTTTAAATATCCTTCGGCCCATTAAGCTTGTTAAGTAAACCAGGCCCAACAGGCCCATTATACAAATTCCCCATAAAACCTATTACAGATCATTGAGGCCCACCAAACCAAACCCAAACCTTATCAAGGCCAAGAACCAAATTCTAAGCTTCGTAAAGCCCATTAACACTTTCTAGGCTCCTTAAAGCCCATCATATAAGCCTGACCCAATAGGGTCCATATCCAGACCAAGGGCCCATAAAGGAATACCCTCCCTGCCCTCACTAATTGGGCGAGGCAGAGGTTAGTCACATGGCCCTTTCGACACGTGGATGTGGTTAGCAAGGCTGCACAACACAGGTGGGTTGCACGTTGCAGCGTGCCCAAGGCAAGCTATCCTGACACTCGGGCATGTCAAGACAAGCCCTCATGCCCATCTCTATTTTATTTGGCACAGAATGCTATCGAGCATGCCATCACACACTCTCGTGGCACTTCATGTCTGTATGCGCTCATATGACATAACATGCTCGCGCACACTTGCACGACACAGCATGTCCGCACGCACTTGTGCAAAATAACATGTTCGCACGTGCTTGCATAATATAGTATGTCAAAGCGCTTGCATTCCCTTGCACGACACAGGGTGCCATCACGCACACTCTCTCAGTGCGCAATGCCTAGTAGAGTGGCTCACGTGCGCGTGCGCTGTTCATGTCAAGGACCACCTTGGCACTTCAGGCATATGTGTTAGTCCCGCGCACATATGCGTGTGTTCTCTTAATGCTCATACACACTTGGCTGAGCCTCTTTGATGTGAAAATCACCAACAATAAGGCTTGTAGAAAACAAGAGGACTATGAGACTTTCGAATGAAAGAAAATGCTAATCAAAGATAAACTTCCTACACATATCCGTAAACAATTCTGGACAGATAGTGACCAAGATAAATTGGTACAAGTTTTACACTATAAATCAGAGTTGAATATACCGAGAATTTAGTCCTAAAAAAGGAAACATCGGAAGAGGAAAATAAGAAGTTGTTGGGCCTAACCACCAAAGAAAGACTCGGCCCATAAATCCTAGTGCAAGAAAAAGTCTAAAGAATGGTGTGTGTCTGGGTAACTGTAGTCTACATATGGGTAGGCATCTATCTGCTCGATATATGATTTCCAAATATACCGACATACAACCCACACATCTCAACCCCATGGGCACCCGAGTAGTAGTGGCCACCTGTACCTTCATCCGCACCAAAGAGCACTAGGCACACAGGTTGCACGCATCGTGTGACATCCCAGGTGCCAATTAAGGTAAATGGGTGTCAGATACAGATTCAGAATAACGAGTGCAAGATAATATTTATGTAGTAGAATCAAAACTTAATAAATTCCTTACAGATATATATATATATATATATATATATATATATAATGTTCTAAATACATACATCACTGATGCTAGAAGTTGCTACAAAATACAAACCATGAGGGCCACTTCTTTCAGTATGCTACTAGAAATCATTAGAATGCAGAAATAGACATGTACTCAGACTTGTGGATCTACGGGATCCTCACAGACTTCCAAGGGTAGGTCTACATGTAGTTCTTCATTTTCTTCCTCATCTGGGGAGGGGATGGAAAAAGTGAGTTCCATATGCTCAGTAAGGAAAACAATATGAAATTAACATCGTAAAATTTCAAAAGTTTATTATTTTTCTTACCGTTCAACTTTCTCATTTACCTAACTCATCATTAGGAAAAACTATTTATTTAAATATCAAAATAGTACGTTAGCACAGAAAATCAAATATACATATATCATTCCAAATAATAGAGAAAATTAAATAAATTATGAAATGCACAGATTTTTCGTGTCATGCTTCGTGAAGTCGTTACAAGCTTCCATCTTTGAGGGCAGATATAGATATATATTTTTAACTTCCCAAGTATAATGATAAGGGTGAAGTGACGGACGGACGGCCCACCTGCATGCGACAGGACATGCACGTAGATCCTGACCCCACACCGTGCATGCGGAGTAGATGTGTGCACTGTGCTCACATCCCATGCGTGCGTGCGTGCGGAGGGGACATGCGCACTGTGTGCTCGTCCCGTGGCCACTGTCCGCGCATGTGTGCACGCACAGTTCCTAGCACCCATGTCAGCAATTATTTTCTCCCAAGATTTTTCCTGCGAGTAGGTTTTCTCTCGTTTCGCTTTTTTTTTAATTTTTTTCTAAATTTTTCTTTTAAAATAAAATAAAATAATTTAAAATAAAAAAAATAAAAAATTATAAAAAATTATAAAATTAAAAAAAATAGATTAAAATCACGGATCTCGAGGACAATGTAAATTAATTTAAATTTAAGGCGCCCAAAGACTTGAATATATAGAGTTTCCAAATAATTTTAGCACAGTGATAGGCAGGTGTTACATCCTTCCCACCTAAAAAAATTTGGTCCCCAAATTTTTCTTGAATAAGTCTGGATACTTCTTTCGCATTTCGTCCTCCAACTCCCACGTCGCTTCTTTCAAGGTGTGATGCTGTCAACGTATATTCACCGTGGGAATTGTCTTATTATGTAAGGCCTTATTAGTCCACCAGAGAATTTCCACAAGAACCTCCTCATAAGTCACGTCGGCCTATACCTATACCTCATCATGAGGAATAATATGAGAAGGATCAGAATGGTACTTCTTGAGCATCGAGACATGAAAGACATCATGTAAATCCGCGAACTCCCGAGACAGAGTGAGGTGGTAAGCCACGGGTCCAATACACTTGACATCAGAAAAGGTCCCACATATCGAGGGCTCAACTTCCCTCTCTTTTCAAACTGCATCTTGCCTTTATGGGGATAGACTTTCAGGAAAACTTGATCTCCTACAGCAAACTCTAAGGGTCATCTACGATTATTGGCGTAGCTCTTTTGGCAGCTTTAGGCAGTTGCCAAATTCTTGCGGATGATTGCGACTTTCTCAATGGTTTCCTGAATAAGGTCTGGTCCTAAGTGGCATTGGTTCTCGACTTCACTCTAGCAAGTAGGGGAACAACAAGACCTTCCATACAAAGCTTCATACAGGGTCATACTAATGCTGGAATGATAATTGTTATTATAAGCGAATTCACAAAGAAGAAGATACTCATACTAGTTATCACCAAAGTCGAGAATGCAAACAGGTAACATGTCTTCCAATGTCTGGATCGTACACTCAGACTGGCCATTTGTCTAGGGATGATAAGCGGTGCTGAAGTACAACCCAGACCTCAAAGCTTCTTGGAAGTTGTCCTAAAAGTGAGAGGTGAACTAGGGGTAACAGTTGGATACAATAGATGAGAGAACTCCATAAAGTTGAACAATCTCATCCACGTATGAGTAAACTAACTTATTAGTGGAGTTCGTGGTTCGAATAAGCAGAAAATGAGCAGTCTTGGTCAGCCTATCCACAATGACCCAAATGACATTTCGATCAGAATAGGTCCTAGGCAATCCGGTGACAAAATCCATAGTTACATGCTCCCATTTCCATTCAGGAATCAGAAAACCCTATAGCAAGCCACCGGGTCTCTAATATTCTGCCTTTATCCGTTGACTAGTAAGGTATCGAGAGATGTAGTCGACTATATTCTTTTTCATTCCTGGCCACCAACATTATCGCTTCAAGTCTCGGTACATCTTGGTACTTGTGGGATAGATGGATAACTTAGAAGCATGGGCAGTCTTGAGTACATTTATGTGTACTACATCGGGAACTTAAATTCCATTATAGAATTTGAACAATCTGTCATCAGAGATCCTGGAATCAGGAGATTCATTCGAAGTAAACTTACCTAGGCTCTTAATGAGTTATCGGTCTGTGGTTGTGTTTTCCATATCTTCATAAAGAGATCTGGTAGGGCTCAAATTTGGGCAAGGTAGGTGCCTTTGCCATAATAGCTAAGGCAGAGTGATTGCACAGTGTCCATCATCCTCAAGCTAGAGGTCATGATTTGTGCTAGCACAATAGACTCTCGTTAACTTAGGCGTCGATGACTACATTGTCTCTCCCGGGGTATAAATGATATGATAATCAT